AATTGACAATAATATCTAAATCAATCTTAAATACTTACAATACATAATCTTAAAACAAATGGCATCTTTAATTCAATCTGATCTCTTCTTGAATTCAGAATTTTCTGAAGTAGACGATTTATAGTTTAGATCTATAGAAACTGAAATTGACAACGAACTAGAAAATGAACTAGAATATGATGATTTAAATAACTATGAATCTGATGATGATGAACCTAAAATAGTAGATTTACTTGCTAATGGTAAAGATGTTGATATAACTGATAAGAATATAAAACTTCTCAATATTATAGAAAATGAATGTCCAAGTGTTGAAAGGTTGTACAAAAGTACATCATGTAATTGCGGACCAGGCAAAAATGTTTTATGATGATTCCACTAGATGAATTTTTAATGCGCCGTGCTTATTTTCAATCTTTATCTAAAAACAAGCAGGATATTTATCTTATGGCACAAATACTTGCATTTGATGGTGGTTTTATAACAACAAGTAGATCAAATAAAAAGCATAATCGCCAAAATATGATAACTTTTTGGCGATATAATAATAACATTTTACTTTGTAAAAAAGTTTATAAACATATGCATGGTATTTCTGAAACTCGTATTAAAAATATTAAAAGACATCTTAAAGATAATGGGCTTAGTATACGACATCATGGAAATGAAGGATGTACACCAACTTGACACTTTATGGTAGTTATTCATAATAATATTGCTAAACTAGTCCAGGATTTTATTAATAACTATGCAGAAGTACATGGCTTACCATCACCTGGCCGCCATTTATGTCAAGATACACATCAAACTATTTATCTTCCCACAGTTGATACAAAAAAAACTTTATAATTTATATATAAATTCTATTACAAATTTTGATGAAGCAAAAATGAGCAATCTACATTTTGCCATTTATGGAATATTTATACACCAGAAGTTCAAATCATGTTACCTCGATCAGATCTTTGTGAAGTTTGTCAGTGCCTTAAATTTGAAATTTCACATAATTATGGTGATACAGGTGTTAAAATTAATGAATATCTTGCTCATATTAATTTAGCTCGTGGAGAGCGAGAGTACTATAATAATTGTATTAAAGATGGATCCAAGATGCTAAATTACTTCCTATTAAATATGAATGATTTAATTATCTTAATTTGACTGCACATTATGCATTTGATTGGGCTCAATCTATTTATGTACCATACTCTGATCAACAAATTGGACAAATATATTTTCTTTCACCTTATAAATTTCATTTATTTGGTTTTTGTAATACGGGAATTCATGAGCAAACAAATTTTATTTTTCCTGAACGATTTATGCCAAATGATGGAAAAGCAGGAAAAGGTGCAAATACTACTATAAGTGCAGTTTAGGCAGGTATTCTTAAATATAATAAAGGTGAAAAAAAACTTAATTTAGTTTGTGATAATTGTGGAGGGCAAAATAAAAATAATATGATAATTTGCTTTTGTGCATGGCTTGTTGCAACAGGAATTTATTTAGAAGTTCATTTACATTTTATGATTGCCGGACATACAAAATTTATCATTAATAGATTTTTTGGAAATATTAAAATTTTATATCGCAAATCAAATGTTATGTGTACTAGTGATATTGTTCATGTGATAGAAAATTCAACAACATGATCTCAGAACAAAGCAATTGTACAAGGCTTAGACTCTGGAATTATTTACTATGATTGGAAAAAAATTTTAAGCTCTATTTATAA